GAGGGCAGTGTCACTGGCCCTCATATGTGGGATCCGAACCGGGGCCCTCTGGCGTCCCAAGCCAGCTCTTAACCATCGCGCCACTCGGCCAGCCCCTGCACTCATAGTTTTAAACATAATGTTTATTTTAAATTATCCTTATTAATGTTTTAAATTGTCCCATCTTTGGCCATGAGAGCTTGGCTCTTGAGTCCTTTTGACATTACCCTGATAGTGTTTGCTGGCTTCTTTGCTATCTGGTATAAGTTGTCCCCCACTCACCTTGTACATTTCCTGCCCCAGACCTGGAATCAGCCATTTATCCATGTTCTGGTTTCTTTCTGTGGGAAATGGTATTTTAAGATCTGGGTGGTAAGAGTATTCATTGCTGCTACTGAATTGGTCATTGTTTCTAGAATTTTTCAGAGGATAGGGATCGGAAGATAAATCACCTCTTGAGTTCATACTAATAGTTCCTATTCAAACTCAGGACTAATGGGTTTTTAAATCCTTCTATATCATATCTGTACCTCCTGTCGGTCACACAAAAAAAATCTGGTTCTCAGGGCCGGCCGAGTGGCTTAGTTGGTTAAGAGCTCGCTCAAGAGTGTGAGCTCTGAGCAACAGGGTCACCAGTTCAATTCACAGCCTGAGCTGAGCTGCCGCTGAGCTGCCAACAGGTGGCAGGATGGCTCAGCTAAATAAAATAAAATAAAATAAAAATAAAAATTCTGGTTCTCAAGGACACAGGACATGAAAGTATTAGAAATCCCGTAATTATTCAATTGCTTTATAGTCAACATATTTTAAATCCTGGGCAAATTAGCATACTTCTCCCTTTTCTCTACACAGAGAATGTTGCAAGAAGATAATGTATAAACACATCATCAGTCACTTCAGAAAACAGAACTTTCCCTTGTGTTGTCCAGAGCTGTACACGTGTCCCAGGAGCTCTGTGCAGTCACCAGGCTGAGAGCTGGGGCTGGGGAGGACGACAGTGTTAGCCAGAGAAAAAAAATTTGCTTTCCTCTCTCCTCTCTAGCCCAGCCCGCCCTCTGGTGGAGATGCTAATAAGCAGGAAACACCCAATGCAGGTCAGACAGAAAGTCAACTAGCTGACATTTACTTGGCAATTACTAGTACTGACTCTAAAATGGGTGCTAAAGGTAGAAAACCTCTCTGTGGCTTTAACTGTAGCTGGGGAGAGTACAGGCAAATGAGAAGCACTTTACAAACTGTCACCAAGCAATACGCCAACTTTCAAAATCATGGCAGGGAAGGCCAATAGAGTTTATCAAAATGACTTAATTTATTTTCAAAGAAATGCCATTTTCTTTCAATAGAACACACAGTATACCCTAAGATATAACTGCTCCTATGCATTTAAAAAAATGATCAGTCACAAGTGACATAATCAAGTTCATAGGCTTAAAAATCTTTTACATACAAAAATCAACCCACTGAGATGAAATCCTATTACATTGTTTACCATATGATTTGATGTTAAGACTCATTTTGGTCATAAAACCTCTGACTTTTTTTTTTACATTTACCATGACTTTTACATGTTTTATGCAATAATGTACAAATTCCATATTTCAAAGGCTTGAATTTAGATTTTATTCAGTTTTAAACTGGATTTCTAAGTGCCCAAGGAGAAGAGGCCAAGAAGAGGAAAGAGGTAATAAAAAAAANAAAAAGGTCAACAGAAGATCTAGGGTCAAAGTTGGACTTGAAAGAGTGGGTCTGGGAATGAGGGAGACTTGCTGCCATCTTTCTGATAATCCCTTTTCCCCCAGCTGGCTGGCCCGCACAGACCCCAAGGATGTGGCACGAGTAGAGAGCAAGACGGTGATTGTAACTCCTTCTCAACGGGACACAGTGCCCCTCCCGACCGGTGGGACCCGTGGGCAGCTGGGCAACTGGATGTCCCCAGCTGAGTTCCAGCAAGCTGTGGATGAGAGGTTTCCAGGCTGCATGCAGGGTAACCAGGGCAGGGAACAGAAACTAGGGGCACTGAAGGTACGAACAGGTTGGAACCCTTCATCCAGTTGACATTTTCCTCCACAGGCCGAACCATGTATGTGCTTCCATTCAGCATGGGTCCCGTGGGCTCCCCACTGTCCCGCATTGGAGTGCAGCTCACTGACTCGGCCTACGTGGTGGCAAGCATGCGTATTATGACCCGGCTGGGGACGCCAGTGCTTCAGGCCCTGGGAGATGGTGACTTTGTCAAATGTCTGCACTCTGTGGGCCGGCCCCTGGCTGGGCAAGGTGAGCACCTGTTCTGGCCCAGAGGAGGACACAGAGGCCTGCTTGCACTCAGAGGGAACCCCAAAGCCTACCCATCCTAATTAGAGAGACACCTAATTCCCCAGATTCAGGGCAGCTGTCTGGGCTGGGAATGAGGCTGTGTTTGCAGAGCAGTTTGCACAAGATTGAGAAAGTCAACTATCCATGTCCAAGAATGGGGCATGGGAGCTAATGGATATTATGAGGTGAGGGGCTTTAGCCATCCGTTGGCACCACCACTGCTCCCAAGTGTCTCTCCTGCCAACCCCTGATCCCTCTAGCCCCTGACACCCCAGTTCCTGATACCCCTGCCAGCAGCCCCATGACCCCATTGTCCCCAGGGGAACCGGTGAGCCAGTGGCCATGCAATCCAGAGAAAACCCTGATTGGCCATGTGCCCGACCAGCGGGAGATCGTCTCCTTCGGCAGCGGCTATGGTGGCAACTCCCTGCTGGGCAAGAAGTGCTTTGCCCTTCGCATCGCCTCTCGGCTGGCCCGGGATGAGGGCTGGCTGGCGGAGCACATGCTGGTGAGGGCCTGGTGAGGATTGGGCAGCTCCGGGGGGCAGGGCAGTGGCAGGGCCTGGCCAGTCTGCCTCAGCCTCACCTCCCCACCAGGTGCCAGGCTAGTGGGCAGACTCTGCCCAAAGCCCAAAGCTTTGACCCCAGGCTGCTGAATGTGTGGGGGCTTCCCCTTGCCACCACCCCAGGCCCAGTGGCAAGGCGGTGCACCTGTTAATATACATCAGTCCTCTCTATTAACCTGTAGCTTCCTATGAAGACCGTGCCCTGACCTTTGGTGATCTCCTCCTTGTTCTCTCTCTCTTCAATGTGCAGATCCTGGGTATCACCAGCCCTGCGGGGAAGAAGCGCTATGTGGCAGCTGCCTTCCCCAGTGCCTGTGGCAAGACCAACCTGGCCATGATGCGGCCAGCACTGCCAGGTTGGAAAGTGGAATGTGTGGGAGATGACATTGCCTGGATGAGGTTTGACAGTGATGGTGAGTGGCTCTTGGATCATACTCTTGGTGCTGGCTCTTTGCAGAGCGTAGGGGTCTTCCCCCCACTCCTTATGGTGAGCTTTGTCAGTAAGAATCTTTTCTTGAACAGTCAACCTTGGCCCAAACTTCCTGACAGGAACACAAAGCCTTCCCCATCAGATCTAGAGTCCGGCTCAGGGCAGGGAGGGGCACAACAAGACCTCCCCGGGTTACACCCCTCAGCTTTTCCTGGTTGGTCCTTCCTTTCTTTCACTTCTCCTAACAGGTCGACTTCGGGCCATCAATCCTGAGAATGGTTTCTTTGGGGTGGCTCCTGGCACCTCTGCCACCACCAATCCTAATGCCATGGCCACAATCCAGAGTAACACTCTTTTCACCAACGTGGCTGAGACCAGCGATGGTGGCGTGTACTGGGAGGGCATTGACCAGCCTCTTCCGCCTGGCGTCACCGTCACCTCCTGGCTGGGCAAGGCCTGGAAACCTGGTATGTGACATGGGGGAGTCATGACACAGCCCCCAGGGCTCCGCACCTTGATGATGTAAAAGCCTTCTCCACAACCCACGGCCATGTTCCAGGACCTTCAGGAGGCACAGGACATTATGAATGTTTGCAGTTTCCAACCCCAGGCAAGGTCTCAGTTCATGACCCAACTCCACCAAGTACTGGCTTTGTGATTTGGCTAAATTGCTTAACCTCCTGAACTTTAGTTTCCCCATCAGTTGAATGGGAGTAATTATTATAGTACCTATCTCTAAAGTTGTTGGAGGATTAAATGCATGCAAAAGGCTTAGCACAGTACCAAATACTTAGTAAATCCTCAATAAATATAAGCTGAGTATGAAAAAAAAAAAAAGGAAAGGGAAGGACTGTTTTGAGAATTATTACAGAAGGAATAAGGCTTGAAGCATAATCCATAAAGTTTGACATCTTAGGAAAGGATGAAGCCTGCCCCTTCTCTTGCCATTTTGGTCCCCACCGTTCCCCTGCATAACAACCACTGTCTAAAGGTCAGTACTGTTACCCTCACCCTTCCCCTGTTGCTCCAACACATACACTGCAATCCTTCTTCCAAACTGCATCAGGCCAGCTCTTCAGCCTCTCATAGAAGCTAGTTTCTCAACCCTGTCATTACTCCTGGTGCCTTACAGTCCCGCCCCCTCCCCCAACCCTGCACTCTGGACCTTCAGCTTTCAGTGGCCTTCGACAGTCAGAGAACCCTGAGACCTAGGGATGGGAGCAAAGACGAGCATGGCAGGGGAGGGTGGCCCTGTGGTCACTGAAGCCTATATTCAAGTTTTCCAGACTGACCTGGCAGTCACCCTCCTCATCTAATCACCCTTTAGTTTCTCTAACACCATTATTAAGCCCTCCTCAGCCTTCCTACCCAACTGAGAAATCCAAGAAACTCTCCTATTTCCCCGCAGGCTAATTCCCCAACCCTTTCATCATCTCTGGATTCAGGGGTATAACTAGGGCGTGTTGTGTCCAGCTTCAGTTCCCAGAATAACACCCGGTGCTAGAGTCCTGAATTGGGGGCTGATAAAAGTACAAGGGACAAGCATAAAGGATGGCTCTTACCTGAGAGTGGAAGCAGGAGCTGGTGGGCGGGAAGGGGACAGGGGGTGCCAGCTCTTCGACTCCCTTACCCCCAGGTCTGACCAGCAATTTCCAGTAAAAAAGGCACCATGTCCATTCGGGGTACCCATGATGGTGCCTTATACATCTACTCCTGACTTGGTCCCAGCCCCTCTCCAGGTTCCTCAGGTTACGCCTGCCCAGGTTATGTCCTTGTCTGAGTTCTTCAAGCTCTCCATCAGGGACTGGGCAGACCCAGGAAAATCACCAAAATTCTGTTAGCTTTAAAATCAAATCCTATTTGCATTTTGATAGCTCAGGAGATTCTCTCTTTCCCCATTTGCTGATGGAAAGTCAGTTGTCTGAAATACAGAACAGACAGACTCAGTTTTTGCTGTAGGTTTGAGTGTTTATTTAAATAAAAGTCCCATAAATAATCATTTCTGAGGGGACATTATGCCAACATCTAACCCCATTCCTCGGAGCACTGGTCAATGCCACATGGCTATAGTTTGGCATAAACATTAGTGCCCTGCTGAATCCCAATTCCTATCCCACTCTTTTCTCACATAGCTTAGCTGGCAGTACCATTATGAATATATAACCTGATTTACCCAAACTTTTAAGGGAGATGTCCTGACTCCCTACTCCCTACCACATGAGGTTGCAGGGAGCTGATGAGGTAAAAAGAAATTGTGCAAGAGTACATGCACACGTGTATTGGGGGTAGATGTGCCCTTGGAAGTGATAGTATTTGTATTTCCTCTGCCAGGTGACAAGGAGCCCTGTGCACATCCCAACTCTCGCTTTTGTGCCCCGGCTCGCCAGTGCCCCATCATGGACCCAGCCTGGGAGGCTCCTGAGGGTGTCCCCATTGATGCCATCATCTTTGGAGGCCGCAGACCCAAAGGTAAATATCGTGTGGGCTCCATGCCATCTTGGTAAAGGGTCTGGCTCTATATCAGCGCCCACCTTCCTCTTGTACTCAGAGCTCAGGGATCTTCAGCCTGTATCGCCAGCTGAGCTGTGTGTCTCCAGAGACCTCCTCTGGAGAATGCAAAATTGGGGGTGGCATGGGATTTGAAAATGGGACAGCTGAGGTCCTAAGAGAAAGA